TGGCAAGGTTAACGATGTAATAGTGGAACGTCGTCTGCAACTTTTTCTCCATGGCAACGGCCGCCATGACGAGCGCGTTTCCGAGCACCGTCAGCGATATCCAGACCGCCAGCGCGACGATTGTCACAATATTCCGCAACGTCGCTCTAAACTCGGGAACTCGGAACGCTTCTAACAAAGTCTCGTTAGAGGTGATCGAAGAATTCTCACCGACATAGTCAGGCAATGTATCGGCATCCATGATTTCCACTCAAACCAAAGTACTAGCTCACGGATCCTTCGGCGCCGCCCTTCCAACTATCAGTTTATATATAAATCGTGATTACCGGATACACAGTTTCCGGATAACTGCTGCTGATGCTGCTGCTGCTGCTGGTGATGTTGCTGCTGCTGCTATTACCGCTGCTGCTGCTACTGCTGTTGCTGGTACTGCTGTTGCTGCTACTTCTGCTGCTACTGCCTTTGTTTCTACTGCCGCCGATGCTGCTGTTGTTGTTGTTGTTGTTGCTGCTGCTGCTGCTGCTGCTGCTGCTGCTATTGTTGTTGTTGTTGCTGCTGCTGCTGCTGCTGCTATTGTTGTTGTTGTTGTTGATGTTGTTGTTGTTGTTGCTGCTGCTGCTGCTGCTGCTACTGAATAGTAGTGCGAATCGTTATCATACGCGTTTTTATACGGTTTTGTGGCGCGTATGTGGCAGCTTCGACAAACAAACGTGTTCGCACCGAGCTTCGCTCGAAGAAACAAGACTAACAAAGAAATAATTAAGCGCCACGTATTTGCTTTTAGCGGAGAAGTAAGTAGTATACTCAGCTGCGTTAGAATACATCGTCGCGCGGCGTTGATTGCTCTATTCCACCCACCATCCCCCTATGCTTTATAGAATCTAAATATCTATTAATTATAATTAAATATAATGCACACACATGTATATATAATATATAATTATAATTAAAGTGATCTTTTTCAGAAAGTTTTCCCGGGTAAAATTGTGCGATTTCGTTTGATCTATTTTTTTATTGCAGACGTCTCCAGTAATAATACTTCTACTTCGATATGCGACACAGCAACTGCATGGACCTCCCTCGCAGGTTTCAATACGGGATGATGTGTAGCCGGACTCACAGATGTGTTCAGAGACACAGAAGTTAATTTCCAATGCAAATTAATGCCTTGTCCACAATATGTAACGGTTCACAGGTGAAGTCCTCTCCTAAACGCGATACATAGTTTCGGGCCTGCGTTAAGGCTGGGGTTAAAACTAAGGGATAAATCTCTGTTAGTGATACAGTTAGAAATATGCTAATGTGTTAGGTTTAAGGTTAGGTTTAAGGTAAGGGTTACAGGTAAGGGTTAATTATATCAATTAATTAATAACTCTTGTCGCCTGTTTTTACACTTCTTTTTTTAAATAATAATGAGTGTTTCAGTAAGTTTATTGAGCATGGTTAATTTTTTGTTTTGTTTACTGTATTTCTTATATATCAGTATGTAATGTTACTAATGACAGAGTTCACCTATTATTATGTTTTATTAGTTATTTAATCATTTTTGTAATTTATAGGAGTGACTATAACTAGAAGACTGTATTGTCATTTCGCCATCCATCCCATCCATCACTTCTATTTATTTTGTTTCATGTTATACCTTTCTGCTAATTTGCATAAGTGTAAATAAAGTGATTAATAGAATATGAATATATGAAAATTAGATTCGGAAGTCTGACATTATCAACGATTTATCAAGGTAGGTTGTTAGTTTATTGTACACTCATTTCAAGTGCCATCACCGGCATCTTGTATTATGTATACTGTGCAGTGTTAGCATGTATATATTAGGGCTGTAACGATACAGAAGCCTCTCGATTCGATCCGGTTCTCAATATTAGCCTCTATTCGATTCCTTCGTTTCGATTCCCAAAATATTGAAATGTTATCTATTTTTTATATATTCATTATTTTGCAATAATATATTAGAAATTTCCAATGAATACTAAATGGTGAATAGACTAGAGAGTCTAGAGAGTATATATCATAGAGATGTATACTATTTATACATCTCTATGGTATATATACACTGCACAGTCGCTGAGTAAAATTGGTGAGTAACAATCCACAGTATTAAGCGTAGTGCCGCCATCTATTGGAGGAAAAAAGTGGTATCAAAGTGGAATCGAAAATATGGAGAAAAATATCGAGAATCGGATCGAGGCAAGAGAATCGCGATCCGATTCGATTTCGGTGGATCGTTACAGCCCTAGTATATATATATATATATACGGGTGCGAGTGTGCGTGCGTGCATGTGCGTGCGTGCGCGCGCATGTACGGTATACGTCTTGATGATTAGCATATACGTATATGCCTTGGCCCACGGAATCCATAGAAATATAATATCATAGATATAGAATACAGATTATCTGTATTCTAGAATATAGAGACACTAGAACAAGTATTATTTCTATGCCGGAACCGGAACTCCACGTAACGACAACGATGATTATGTTTATTTTCCGTTGATGATTTTAAAAACTACGGATATACCGCAATACATAATTCAATTGCGTTACTTTTTCCACTAGGTGTAGCAAATTATTGCACAACACTAGAAAAAAAGGATAAAATCTGTAAACGAAAAACATAAAACAAAACCGGATGTTACCTTTGACCGCCGCTGCCAGCGTGTAACATTGCTATTGTCAACGCAAAAAGTTGAAAGCTTGTTTCGTCGCTCAATGATGTCACAGTTTCGACTATACAAAATTTTAAAAATTTTTAAAGGGATAGTTTACTCTAGGTTCTAGGGTTATTTTCAGTTAATTTAGGTTAAAATTACGCTACATAAAAAGTTTCATGGTTCAATCACCATTAGAAATATTATTAAAAAATGTTTTAAAACTAACGACTACAGTTTGATTACAACGACGGTGGCGCCACTCAAAGCGCACAATCTGATAAGTTGTGCAAAACCACTTTCCAGCCAAGGGCTACAGACCAAGGGTGTTTCTTATTTATTTATTTAAAAGCAAAAGGATTGTAATATCTTACAAACGACATATAGTTTCAGTTATATTATGGATAAATTTGTCCTAAAATGAACATCGTTGGGTTAAATAGCATTTAGGTATGAATATAATTGCACCTTTGTGATTAGCCCTCGGTCTGTAACGTGCAAAATAAATTGGCAAATATGCAACTTTTTCAGGGTGGCAGCACAGTTGCGGGTGTCATGGCGCCATTCAAATTTCGTAGCGTTGATGTGTAATTAATTATAACAATCAAATTAGGTATCTGGTAACAAATACGTGTGGGTATAGACGATTTGTTATACAGTAAATACAGTTATACACAGTAAAATCCTAGTCTACTATCCCTTTAAATAGGGTTAGGGTTATTTTTTAGAGTTAGGGTTAGGGTTAGGGTTAGGGTTTAGGGTCATAATGCACCTTAAAACAGGAGTTTGAGTTCGTACGGACGTGACGACACTGTGACGTCAGTGAGCGACGAAACAAGCTTTCAACCTCTTGCATTGTCAACATCATGAACGAAAACAGAAATTTGTCGTCAGTGAGTAGTGCTGGCACGATCGAAGACAAAATACTATAAAAGAAACAAATAATCGGCAATCACATATCAAATACAACATCTCCGGATGACGCTTTTTATAAGGTAGGTTATTCAAAACAGCAGTCACCGTAGTATGGGTGAGCACAGGCACTTGGAGCGTTTCAATAAAATATCATGCTAAATAAATACGAAATCTATTTACTACCAAAGTCTGACTCTTAATATTTCTAATTCTATACTCTCTTGCACCTATTATTGCCGACAATTTCATGTAAATGCCGTCCAAATGCTCATCTGTAAACACACACTGCCGCCATTACTGCTGCCACTGCACACTGACACATATATATTTTATGTATATAATCATGCAATAATGCATAATACTTGCAGTAGACAGCATGTCAAAACCGAATGCGTTTGGAGCATCTTCACCCATCAGCTCGACTGCAGATGTCCTGCCAGCGATTTGTGGTGAGCAACAGCCTGGTCCCTCCGGCCTTCAACACCCTACAATCACCCTAACAATAGAACCTCAACAATCTACAACAAAAAGGCCAGCTGCTGGAAAAGGGAAAGGAAAAGGAAAGCGCTCCAGGCCAGAAAGAAAGATCGTACAAGAACCAGCTTACATCTGCCCAACATGCAGCAAGGATGTGGGGGACTCCCCCTGTGTTGGTTGTGACGTATGTGGAGGTTGGCTACACAGAGCATATGCTGGCTTACTCGACGATGAAAATTGGTCTGAAGTTTCTGCAAGTGACGAGCCGTGGACATGCCCAAAATGCTTTAAAATGCAACAGTAAACAATAGATCAATTGTTGTGTAACCATAACCATAACAAGTATTCGTACCTGGAGAATAATACTTGTGTTCCACTAAGCATCACTCTTCTATTTCTTCGGATTGATGGGTTTCTGCACTCGAAATGAGAAAGGCTCTGCTGCTACTCCAGTGTTGCAACGGCTGCTGTTAACAGTGTCTGCGGTTAATATGATGGTGTTCATACCATACATAAACTGCTTGTAGTTGGGGTTGTCATTGGCCCCATGCGAAATGGCTCTCTGCTGGCAGAAGATGTTTTCGACTGAGTCGCTGTTGACTCGAGCAGCATTTATGCTTGTGCCAGGATGGGTTTTCTGTTTCTGGCGAACAAGACTTCCAAAGCCCAGAATGGCTGACTTCATGTCGAAGCGTGTCTCCTGTGACATCAACTTTTTTCGCTTCACGATGGCAGTGTCCTGTAGATCGCTCATCACGCCGTCCTCCCATGATGTGAACCATTGCAGTGCTCTCGCATTGCAATGGAGCCGATCATCTTCTACTGATGTTATAGGACGTGTGTCGGTAAAGTTTGCAATCAGAACACTGGTTGCCTCCAGCAGCTGTATCGCACCGTTGAGCGAATCTCCATTTCGACCTTCAGCTTTCTGGTAAGCCTAGTGAAAAGTCGTGGTATTATTACATGTTTAAATAAAAAAATAATTGCCATGCACATGTACGGGGCATGAAATTCCGATTTTTTCTGTACCGGCCCAATGCGCATAGCGCTGGTAATAGCAGTTTTTTTACCAGTAATCACCATAATTTACTAGCACTCTCAAATTTAGTTTTTTATCAAAAATAAAGATAAGACTTTCTCTGACTCTTGCTTGTCCGAAAAATGTTGTAGTATGCGGCATCACGTAATAGCTGTTGAACAGACTATAAGTATAATGCAAATCGTGAATGATGTTCACTATATTACAAAAATCTAACCATGCTTAAGATAAATTCGTTTTTACTTTGAACAGATGAAGCATTTCCTTGTTGAGGACATCTTCTGCCAGTTTATTTTGCATCTTCTGCCCATTGTTTGGCCAGATGTGCTCATCACTCAGGACATGGTGTATCCTTGAGACCTCGCTTGGGTTCGCTGCCCGGTCCCACTGATAGGCTTTCACCCACATTTCCCAGGTAATAAAGCCTGCCTGATGCGACAGTAGTCTGGTGCTATTTATTCCAAACCCACTTTTGATAATATTATTTCTGATTTTCTTGAAGAGGTGCTAAAGTGTAAAAACATACAATATTTTAAGGCTATTAAATTCTGAGCATAGAAAATAACATCTTGTACATGAACTGATTTCTCTGTGGGAAAGGTTTCATCTGAAATGATCTGCGATATGGATATGTATGTTTCAGTACTATACCTTCGGATCCATCATCATGACGAGTGGCAGATCTGGCGAGCAGGCATTGTGTGTGGCGAAGGAAGCTGACACTGCTGCCGAATCGGAGCCATTGAAGTGAATTTTCAGAAACGACCTGTTATGGACAGCACCATTGAAGCAAGCGTAGTTTACCTGCAAAGGTTAATTTTTTTATAATTTTTAGAGGTTAGGGTTCACATTGTAAGCTTTCATTCACTGATTAGCTGTCATTATATGGATGTTAGTATAGAAGTTCATTCCTGCCAAGTGTGGTATCCTTATACCTTACCGTACGGCGTTGAGCATTACCTCTATACATTTAAAACCTATTATGCGTTCCCTTTTTCCCCATACTGTAATCTACTGCTGTAAAAAATGTGTTTGCTGGCTAAAACAGTCTTTCTATGTAGAATTTTGCTTGTATGACATGCAAAATATTTACTCACACTGAATCCCCAGTCAATCAGTCCACACACAGCCTTCCAGAAAAGGACGTATATATCTGGTGCTGTTGCTTCTGCCGTCGGCACGTGCATAAATGGGAAGCGAAAGCCACTGTCCCCTTGGAACATGAACAGCAAGACATGTGTGGCGAGTTGCGCTGATGCCTTACCTGGAGAAAAGTAAATTGTGGCAAAAAAACATGTTTATAAATTGAGAGTAATGAGGCTAAATATGTCACAACATTAACCTTGATTTAGATTAACAAGCATACAAAGACCTAAATATTTAACATATTCTTACCTTCTTTCAGTACTCGCATAGCAGAGCATTCAGCTCCCATGTCGACCAGTCCGACGATCTTCACTTTACCTTCAGAGTATATGATCTGAAGGTCAGACTGAATCGACATCTCGTCGAAGACTATGCCTCCAGTCATGCCATGCGGTGGCACTTGCTTGGACTTTGCTTCCTCATACATCCAGTGAAGCATATCGTTGTTGAGTCCAGGCTTCTGGTGAACTGAGTTTTTATAATATCGAAGTAGGCGTCCACTTGGCAGTGTAACTAATATGCCAAGTGACGACAGCTTCTTGTAGGTGCGAGGATTGCTGGCCCACAGCGTCAGACATGCCTTCACAACCCTATGTGTTAGATAGTGAGAAAAATGTATCTTTGAAGTGTATTCTGATAAAAGGAACATTACGATTTTGTGCAATGGATTACATGAGCACTATATAACACACTTCAGTATGAGTATAACCATGTGCCTGTGAAGTTTTTTCAACAACAAAACAGTATGGATAATATTGTGATATATGTGACAGCCCCAATATGTGCAACTTACTCAGGATTCCACCTTCTGCCTCTGGGGGCTCTACCACGGATCTGCTCTTGGTTAAGTAGTTGATCCCGCAGCAAACTGTCGCTGTTTATCTGTGGCAGATATTTCGCCACAATGGCTGCAACATCAGCGTCGTTCTCATCTGTGAGGCTCCACTCAGCATCTGTGTGTGCAGTACTGGCATCATGTGAAGTGTGAAGTGCCTTCAGCGATGCAGCCTTCCGGACATAACGCAGATGTCTATTGCATGCCCGGCAGCTTGTGCCGTGTGCAAGTGCCGGTTTTAGCCAAGAGCAAGTGCGAGCACGCTGGCGAATCTCTTCTGGTTCTCCTTTGGCTGTCTGGAAACGCTCAACTGTGTGAGAGAAATATGGTATGTTTGCGGCTATTTTGTTTTATGCTAAATACAGTATGGCCCCGTTATAACGTGATCGTTGAGATCCGTGAAATGTTATTGCGAAAAAAGCAGGGTTGCAGAAAATCAGTCTATAAACTGATTCAATGGTGACCAATCCATCCCAAAACACCCATATTTTTGCCCTAGTTGACCCGTTTTTTTGCACGTTTACCTTCTATTGATAGCGATAGTCACTTCGACCTAAGCAAAAAAAGGTCTAAATATCGCTTTATATCCGAATTTGCGTTAAATCAGGGCGTGTAAAATTGGGATTTCACTCGAATGCTTTAATGCTGACAGCAGTCCAGTAAAATTATTTTTCAAAATAATGGTCTTGACAAGTAAAATCCATAAAATAAATTAAGACAAAACAAGGTATAAGCACCTGGCTGTCGGCCTGAAGTTGACTCTCCCAATGGCAATCCTTTGCACATTTCTGCATTATCGACCATGCGGAGTAGGTTGTCCACATCCCGAACACGAAACATGCCATCCCCAGGTGACAGCAGGCTCGATTGTTCACTCGAATCACTGGTCAGCACACGAACCACTCCAAAACTTAAATTCCAGTGACCATTTCCATACACTTCTAATTCTTTAACAACTCTCTGCTGGTTGATAATACCAACAAAAGACATGATTTTGATGCTGCTGTCATTATTCGCGACTACATGCCACCAAGGTTTTATTCGCAATGCAATGTCATGCAGGCTAATCGTGTCTTCTGGTTGCTGGTGCCGGTATGAGATGCCACGATATATTCTTACATGACTTTTGTCTTTTCTTTTTGTAGAAAAACTAATGCCAGGAAATATTAATTTGAGATGTTTTCCAAAAAGGTCCTTTGATACGGTTGCGTTAGAGCAAGACTTCATAAAGCTCGTGAAAACATCTTGTGCAATTAGAAAACCTTGTTCATCAACAACCAGCTCTCTTTCAAGCCTTGTGGAATAAAAAGAAAATTATATCAGGAGTTAATAATAATAACTATAACCGGACTAATAATGACTAATATTAATAAGGACAGGAGCATATGACAAATATAATTTGTCATTATAGGCTACGCTCCTGATAAGGACTAATAATGACAAGTTGAAGTTAGACAGTGGCTACGGGTACGGTAGCCGTATCTTAATGATCGAGGCTACGGGTACGGGAGTCCATTCGCTTTCATACTTAACGAGACAAAGATGGCGGCGGTGGCGCCAGATTTCGAAATAACGCCTTGGGAAATAAATTCACGATTTGAGAGTTTAGATGAGCTAGAACCCTAACCCTAACCCTAACCATAACCCTAAACCTAACCCTAATCCTAACCCTAACCCTAATGCCAAAAAAGGGCTTCAACGACCGACGGCTACCGTACCTCCAGCCAATGCGTTGAAGTTACCAGCGACCGACCATAACGACAAACGACAAAGTCGCGGCGACTGGCGCAACCACACTGCAGCAACAACGACCGACCGTAACGACAAAGTTCACCCAGCCCTCACCACAGTGCCAGTGCCAGTGGCACACATGAACAAACGGCAAAAAACTCCTGCTGCTGCTTTTAAATAAATTGCTGTAAAAACGCTCTATGTATAACGATAATATAATAAAGTATACGCAGCATATATTATACGAACGTCTGATGGCTGACCGTAGCCTTGCACGTTTTGGTTAGATGGGTTCGCGGCCCCACTGTTTCTGACAGGCGGTGCGAGTTTAGCGCTGGGGACCAGTCTACTTCCTGGTTAGCATTGGTTTATAATTTTATGACGTAATGGCGATGACACGTGCCGATGGAAACGGTGGTGATTGGCCATTTGTAAAGTGTCGCCGGCAAAAGTCGCTGGGAAATAGAAACGTTTCTAAATATTTTTGTCGTCGAGGTTGTCGCCGGTCGTCGTCGCGTTAGTGTGCAATGCCAATGCCAATGGCTCATAGGAAACAATAGTTTCTAATTTTCTGAAAAGTCGTTTGTCGTTACGGTCGGTCGTTGTCGCTGCAGTGTGTCTTGGCCTTAATACCTGATTATATGTTGCAAGTCAAAGAATAAGAGTATATCAAAATTATAGTAGGCCTATATTATATAGTGCATAAAAATCCAAAGTATATAATCTAGGCCTATGGTTTGCATAATAAAAGTAAACGAAAACTTACCAGGTACAAATATCACTTCTCATTTCTAACGTTGCCATGCTAGTACACGCAGAGGTACACGTACACGTACACGGAGTCACGTAGGCCCATAGAGTTATATATTAGACCCCAAATATACAAATATAAATATTGTATATTTATACAACTCTATGCGTAGGCCTTAGTTTTGATTTTGGCGCAAAAATGAGGTCACGATTCACGAATAGCGCCGGTAGGTGTTTCCTATGGAAGACCTGATATATGGTCTCCAGCACCATATGCACCAAAAATAGCAACCTTAATAAAATAAGGGTTAAAACAAGGGAGCTTCAAAAAGAAATATACAAAATGGATGAGCGATTTAAAAGGAATAATACCAGCTTGCTTTAAGAAGTCTGCCAAAAGGTGTGTACCAATACTTAGTGAAAAACTTAGGTTTCTTTTTGATATCAAGGAGGGGGGAACGGGGGGCGTCTATTTTTTCCGTACCGCAAATGCGCAAAGGGTTCCTCTGATTGGCTGCTTTGATTTGCTCTGACGTGATAAACCTTCAAAACAAGAGAACAAACGCCCATTTGTAAATATTTGTTTTAGTTCATCATCGGGCGATTATAAGTAACTTAGTAAGTTTAAAACACACATTTTACTCATAAATATAGAATATAATATCACTATAATTACAATTCTTTGCGTAACTGTGTTATTNAACTTACACAATTTAGTTAACCGCAAATGACGACCCTGGTCCTTTAATACAGAGTATTGCGATACATAGTAAGTTCCCAATTAGCGGAGAAAGGTTCGTGTTGAGAATAAACCCAGTTTGGAAGTTCTAGTCTCTGAAATCGCACCAGCAAACCGGCCCGAGTGATTCACTCGGGCATTCCTCCGCACAAAGAGATAGGGAGGCTTTGTAACCCTATCCTCTTGGGTTTGGGTTACATTATTGTATCTACATTTGCACTAGCTCTAGTAGTAGTACTATAGCCCGCGTTCGATTAACTGCCGCAGGTAATCGAACGCGGGCTATAGTACTAGAGCTACATTTGCCCTAGCTCCAAGAAACGGTCTTGCTAGGGTTAGACAAAGATTCAACCGACCTAGCTCTAGCCTCTAGTACGCGCGGCAGTTAATGAACGCCTGCTATAGTACTAGAGCTAAAACCGACCAGGCTCTACGACTGTTACACTTAGTGTTGTGTTAAGCAAGAAGGGAACTTGTGACTAGGGTTAGATTAGCTCTAGTACTATAGCCCGCTTACATTAACTGCCGCTGACAACTGTACGCGGGCTATGGTACTAGAGGTTAGCTAGGGTTGGATGACTTGTAATCTGTATAGACAATCGGTCTCACAGCCTGGTCGTGCTACATTTGGCAGATTTGCCCATGTCGCACATTGCGAAAATGAATTGTGGTCAGCGCTTGTTTCCATGAACCGAAATTAGACTAGCGGAAGATTATAAAAGATTTCTAGGGCACAATACAATTTATACAATTTATTTGTGTATCGCATGCTGAACTGATACGCCTTATACGACGTGTTCTATGCATTTGTTTGCGTGTCTTCCGGACCACTACTACCCCCTATTTTAATAACCTGGGAATAGTTTGTCATTGTGTCTAACAGCCGTCGTTTCTACTCTGCACATCGCGCAGCTTTGACGACATCGCCACGCCGTGTGTCACAATGGAGTTCTGCGAGCCGAACATAACATTTTTCATCGTCTGGAACCACGGCATCAACTACTGCTTTGCGACGACGGTCACGTCGTCCCTGCTGTTCGCAGTGGCGTTCTTCTTCGGAGGTGATTGCGATTAGGCGTCGTTGATTAGGGTTTATAACCTCATAACTTTGTAAATAATAGTCTTCAAAGTGCAAGAATGTATGTCGAAGATGGAAATGAAAAGGTTATTAAGATTTGTGGTGGAATGCTGTACTGTATTTATTTCTCTGGTACCCACTGTCAGAAATTTCGTGACTAATTATGATGTCATAATTCGAATTGGTGTAATCGATCATAATCGATTAGGTGTTATTGTAGGGTATGTTGAGCTAGCTGTATCTATTTTCCTACTGTCAGAAATTTCGTGAATAGTTATGTCATCATAAGTCTAAAATCTAGTGTGTCTGTAATGCTGAGTGTTCAAAAGCATCGTGCAAATGTTGTGAAAGTCGTAATTACTTATAATTATAATTATTATAATTATACATACATACATTAACATAATTAATAATACAGTAATTATAATTATTTGTGGCGACAGATCCTGTAAAAACAAGTGAAAATCACAAAACTATGGAAAAAATGTGCGGGGAGGATTGTCATAAGCTGATTATATTAACAAATTATTAGGGGCTCCTCCCTTGAAATGAAATTCTATATGTTTTCATTTTGAATGAAATATTTTGTTGAATGCTTTTCATATATTGAATCTAGTTTTTCATTTGGATTTTAATTCTGTAGCCTATTATCACGTACTTCACGTTATATTTAAACGAATGCAAATTGAATGTCGATCACAATAGTGAATACTTTGTAGCGGTGTGTGTTACAGGGTATGTACCCTAGAATTCACGTATAATTTGTGTGTTAATTACGTTCTTTCTCTTTTCAGGGGCCCAGATTTATTTCTACAGAAAATATTCAAATTTTATCGACAAAAGAATTCAGCCTGAGTCCTATCTATTCTACTTGCAGGTAAAGAGTTAGTCTCATGAATCCAAACTGTGTTTTCAGATTAACGTAAAATGATACCGTAACTCTGTTGAAATTCTATGTGGCAAAGAATACTATTTCTGTATTTATTCTGTCCAAATTCTTATCTGTCATTGTTGTAACATATTTAAATGAGTTTCTGATCATCTCTGGTATGTCAGTTACGCATCGTTAGTGTGCCAGTTATATTTAATTATGATTTTTTATAGATCCTTTTAACAATTGGAATGGCATTGGAGAGCATTGTACATTTGATCCTCTGGGGAACAGTAATAAGTACGTATGAATACCCAGACGCATTCTTGCCGGCTTTACGTTATACGAATATGTACTGAGTATCGATTTCTAACACCATGCAGCGTTCACATTGATAAAACGCTTCGAAGCTATCTGTCTTCACCCGTCCGAGCTAGCATCACCAGTACTTGCCCCTCTTCCTCTGGCAATCGAACGCTCGCGTCGCTTCAAATAAAAAATGATCTAATATATATGTATTTCCGAATGAGAAGCAAAATTTTCAGATTAAAAAATTTTTAAATTATCAAAAAACGAAAGAAAAATTTATCATCGTTTGATTCGAAGCCCCCAAATTGCCGCAACCACTGCGACCCCCCTGCGACGTCGCGCGAATTCATCGCAATATATAAAATATCTTTACTTCGGAATATGAAATGAAATGTTCATACTAAAAAAAAACAAAAAAACATCAAAACAGAAAGAAAAATTTCATATCGCCCGATTCGCCGAACCCCGGTGACCCCGTCCGACCTCTCGCGCCCTCACGTGTGGCGCAACCTCACCTCGCCTCGCTCGCCCGCAGGCATGCGCACGATCTACGGCTATCAGGTGCTGGGCACGGTGTTCTACTGCGTGGCGTACGGGATCTCGCTGCTGCTGCTGCTCGTGGAGCGGCGACGCACGCTGCCGACCGTGCCGACGCGCGGACACGGCCTCGTCCTACTCGTGTTCTGGACGCTGGCCTTCGTCAAGGTCAACCTGAGCTTCCTGAACTGGTTCAGCGACCAGTGGTGGTTCCAGAAGAAGAGGTATGTCCGGGCGTACGTTGTATGTTGTGTTATCAGGAGTGTATAATATAGACATGTAGAGTATATAATATATTATACACTCCTGGTGATGTTGTATGTGATATTGACGTCGTTACAAAGGTCTGTGTTCGTGCGACGCGTACGTAATACTGGTGGTTCCGGAAGAAGAAGTATGTTCGGGCGTACGTTGTATGTTGTGGTGTATGGAGCGACGTCGACATCGTTACAAAGCTTTGTGTTCGTGTGACGCGTACGTAATACTGGTGGTTCCAGAAGAAGGTACGGGCATCTCTCGCTCCCCCTTCACCAATATGTTCTGCGCTTCGCAGGGGAACGACGGACACGGTGGAGCTGATATTGTTCATCGTTCGCTATGTGTTCGTCGCTCTGTTGTTCGCGCTCGGACTGAAGGCTCCCGGACTGCCGAATAAACATAGCTGGCATCATCTGATCAGCAACACGCTAGAAGACACAGAGCAGGTACGCACGCTTACACGCTGCCCCGCGCACATATATATATATTTATACACAGTGGACCCCCGAGATACGAATGGCTCGCCATACGAATTTTCGGGATACAAACGTCATCCCGTTGAACGTAATGTATTCGACAAACGAATAAAATTCAACATGAACGTCTTACGAATCAGCCAATCAGGGCATAGGTCTAGTGCGCGCTCTTTCGGTGAGTCCGTTTAAGTACGTGACTCATTGAATGTGGTTGTGCTCTCATGATTGCACTTGCTGTTCGCAAATTGCTGTACGTCCTATATAGGGTTAGAGCTACGAATTTTTCGAGATACGAACAAATCTGTGGAACAAATGAAATTCGTATCTCAGGGGTCCACTGTATATATATATATATCAAGAGTACATAATAGAGAAGAGTATGACACGGTTTTAACAGCGTTTTGCATAGTTTTCAACTTGTAAATATTATATCAATATGTGAATAAATATATTCAAACTTTACCTTGTTTTCGTCTATGATTCTCCCTTAATCATATGACACCACAAATTAACCTGAAAATCGTATGTGTTCTTCAAAAAAGTTATTTGAATACGACACGGTTTCGCACAGTTTTCACGCATGGATGCATGTTTTAGACTAAACTTTCCATCGGGATTAGTGTTCTATTGTCTATGACGGAACTTTGGGGGCCGTAAGGGATATTAGGCATCGAATTGTATTCAGCGTGCAGCGTTTCCAGCATGCTAAAAATAAATGTGCTCACGGCCAGCTAGCTAGCAGCTGATTCTCTTACGGCCCCCAGCGTACCGTCATAGACAATAGAACACTAATCCCATATCAAAGTTTGGTCTAAAACATGCATCCATGCGTGAAAACTGTGCGAAACCGTGTCGTATTCAAATAACTTTTTTGAAGAACACATACGATTTTCAGGTAAATTTATGGTGTCATATGATTAAGGGAGAATCATAGACGAAAACAAGGTAAAGTTTGAATATATTTATTCACATATTGATAGAATATTTACAAGTTGAAAACTATGCAAAACGCTGTTAAAACCGTGTCATACTCTTGATAATGATATATATCAGGAGTGAATCTGTCATTATTCATCTCTGATATATATATATATATATATATATTCTATATGTCCTATGATATATATTTTACATTCTATATCACGCGCTGCATTCCACTAACGATCCGTATGTATCAGGCGCTGCACCACACGCAGTGGCCGTGGGCTCTGTATTCTGCTGTATTCCATGTTGATATTCTAGAAATCTCACGCAGCATACGTTCCAATAACAATATGCTTGCATGGGTCATCATCGATTCATTCCTGCTATGTATGTGCGTGTGCACACACGCACGCACGCACGCACACGCACCCATAGTGAATTGTAATTTGTAATGTCAGAAATCCGGTTGGTAAATAGGTATACTGAGACCATATAGGGAGCGGGGGAATGTGAAAGCTACAAGGAAGCTTATCCTAATATATAACTTTCTTTCTTTACCAGTTTACCAAATTTTGTTCCTGTACTTTTGCAAATCTTTACTACGTAGTCTGTAAACTCGGCGCCGATAGAACTAGGCTTGCGAGTTAAAACAGAGTGTCTGTGTAGCGATCGACTGTGAAGGTGTGACAGGCTGGTTGTATTGCACTCTGTCGAGGTCTGGCAAAAATCCGATTATCCGGTAATATTGTCGCATTTCGAGTCTATATATCTATGAAAAAAGCAGTCTAGTGAGAGTCACATGAGTTCAGTGGTTTCTATCCCTCTCTAACATGCTATCATTATTCCTATTATTCCGTTATCAAATGACAAGATGGCGGTTCTTAACATCGTTTGCATGCGACTGACATACTTATTGTGGGGTTATCGCAGTGCCCCCTGGGTACAGCTGCCATCGAGTCGCATACAAAGGCTTGGACGGTTGCTGGACACAATTGGTGACCCACTTAGAAAGACGTGGCGACTAAAACGATCTTGTTCGCGGAAGAATTTTTGTGTGGTGAAGGAAATGCTTCCAAAAGATAGAGGAAGTTGTCATTCTTCCTCCTTTCTCAGGATAGAAACTAGCAGGACGTGTGTGAGGACATTCATTCCCTCGTGAAGAATGCTTCTGGAAAATAGAGAGAAAAACATTTTATTCTCGCATAAAAGATGCGCGTCGATGCTGTCCCCCTCCTTTCTGTGAAAGATGCAGGAAGGAAGTGGACATGGACGAGAAAGGAAACGGAAAAGAAAGGGCACAAAAGAAGAAGTTACTTCTCTCAGGAAGGAAGGATGCTTAAAGAAGTTACCAGAAGAAGCCATTCTTTCTATGATGGATGCTTGCAGGAGGTGGCAGGAGCCAGAAAAAGAAATTGCCATCTTTGGGATGGAGGGATCCAGCATTTAAAGAATGATGAAAGGAATTAATTAGAAAGGAATTTAAAGGAAAAGGCAAGTTGCAAGAGTTAGAATCCACATGGTCAAGCAGGATTATGCTTTTCGTCGTGGACAATAGAGAATCATTCCAATTTATTCCGAATTTAAAGTCCTTCCCCATGTCTTGCAGTAGGTCGAGATGTAATCCATATTGTTATTATCTCAATAATTTGGAATCAAAAACAAAATAATTATAAACAAAATTCACCCATTGGATATGCGTCGACACTGGCTACACAGCACATTCCTTGTTTGGAAGCAGATTTCCGAAGCATGATATAAAATGGAACCATAAGGCACGGAGCAAGTACAGTCAGGAAAACCCCCGTTTTAAGAAAGGATACGATGGGAAGACACCATGTGAGCATAATGACAAGGATAAATGAATAAAATGGCGGCCAAATGGTTAGCACTCGCAACTTCGAACTAAAGGGTTTGGGGTTTTTTAATGGCACCTTGGTCACTGCTGTTGTGACCAGGAGCAAAAGCTGCTTCATGGGCGTTTTGCATCAGTCAACAGCCTACTATATACAAATGCTTATCGTAGTAATGATGTTAACAACCCATCCTCCATAAAACAGCCCCTGTTAGAAGTAGAAACCCTTGTTTCTAGTATGAAACAATAGCGTAAATCAGTGTTTTTGGCCTCATGGGGGCGTTATAAAAGGACAGAAAAAAAGCAACGCCATTCAACACAAATAAGAACAGCGCCTGTTCAGAAGTAGATAACCCTTGTAGAAACCAAAGCGATACAGTTTTCGTGGCATCATGGGGGGTTAGAAGGACAGAAAAAAACAACCCATCCCCGCCCATATACACACGCGCCTGTTAGAAGTAGAAACTCTTGTAGAAACAAGCATATACACGTTTTCGAGGCCTCATGGGGGGTTAGAGGACAGAAAACACACCATCCCCGCTAAAACAGAACGCTGTTACAAGTAGAAACCTTGTAGAAACCAATAGCGATACAGTTTTTGAGGCCTCATGAGGCGTTAGGAACAGAAAAAAAACACCCATCCCACTTAAAAAACAGCGCCTGTTAGAAGTAGAAACCTTGTAGAAACAAAGCGATACAGTTTTTGTGGCCATGGGGGGGCTTAGAAGACAAAAAAAACAACCCATCCCGCCTAAAACAGCGCCTGTTAGAAGTAGAAACCTTGTAGAAAAAAAAAGCGATAGCAGTTTTTGAGGCCTCATGGGGGCGTCTAGAAGGATGCAGAAAAAACAACCCATCCCTGCCATAAAAGCAGGCACCTGTTAAGCTGTTAGAAGTAGAAACCGCTTGTAGAAACTAAGAGCGATACAGTTTTCGAGCCTCATGGGGCGTTAGAAGGTCAGACATAGAAACAACCCATCGCCCATAAAACAGCGCCTGTTACAAGTGAAACCGCTTTGTAAAAACCAAAAGCGCATAACAGTTTTTGTGGCCTCAGTGGGGGGTTAGAAGGTCAGATATAAAAGCAACCCATCCAGCCCATAAACAACAGCGCCGTTACAAGTAGATAACGCCTTGTAGAAAACAAAGCGATACAGTTTTTTCGAGGCCTCATGGGGGCGTTAGAAGGTCAGAATAAAAAAACCATCCCCCATAAAACAGCACCTGTTACAAGTGAAACCGTTTGTATAATCCCCAAAGCGATACAGTTTTCGTGCCTCATGGGAGGGGGAAAGGCACCACAAGCGCGTTAAAGGCCACGGCATGATCCCGACATGGCACTAAGTTTGTCCCTTGGTGTTGCAGTTCTTCTGCCTCGCTGCGGACAACGCATGCAGCGACCACCCGCAGGCGACCTCGGCACAGAGAGCAGGGCGACCCTACTGAACCCTGTCCGGAAATGCGGCCGCGCGCCACACCCGACGACGCACCACCTCTCCCCCCAGAGAAATGTTGTGGCGATTTAAAAAATGTTTTTATTAGAACGCTTATACGGGCTAATAATATGTAGCTGATGAATCATGCTTGAGCATGATGTACTGATTTTTGTATCGCGACAAAACGAGTTTGAAAATAATATAAATTTCAATATAAAAAAGTCAAATATATAATTGAAAAGCGATGGGATCGGCTGCATTTTTTAACAAGCGAATCGCGGTTTTGTTGTCGCTGATTTTTTCGTCGAATCGCACACGTAAGCTGGTCATTTATCTGTAGTTATGAATGTTACGCGACGTCTTTGCAGATAGGTCGTTATAGACATTTGGTAGTTTTGTGTTGTGTTTTTGTATTATGACATATTCAGCAGTTTGTTGCATTCTAAAAAGTAAGTGCACTGCCCAGCACAGACTGGCATCATAGACAATAGACGCGTGAGCCAGCGTACAGTATCTACATCAACAGAACAATAAGACTGCGACAGTAAGAACACATAGAATCTTGAAAAAACAATAGACCTTGCGACACAGAACAATCAGACTCTGACAAAGAACAATAGTAATGCGTGATACAAACAATAGATGGCAACACAGGAACAATAGACTTGATGCTATGATGGTAATGCACACCAGTCAATGAAAATACACTGAGGGGGCAATGGCAGTGCTCGAACCAGCCGGTCGCCCGGTCAGGCGCGTAGCCAGATATTTATTATTGGGGGGGGCGGGCAATGCAAGAGGCACGTGACGTGTGCGAATCCAGGGCGTAAAATGCCGTACGAGAGTGGGGGGGGGATGATCGGCGAGTAGCCAATCACAATACTAAGCACGAGCGTAAGCCCACAATATATTTACACACGCCGCGCGACGGCGCACTTTTGGGGTCCACGAACATACATACACACACACATCACACACAGGGGGCGGATGCCAGAATTTTTTGAAAAGGGGTGTCAGTGAAGACCAAATAAAGGGCACTTTTTTGCTTAGCTTTTTCTGGGTTTTAAAAAGCTGCCGTAAGGCCACGTTTGGGGGTTTTGGGGACCTTCGCCCAAGATTTTTTTCTAAAACATTGGTGATTCTGAGAGCATTCTGAGGCCAAGTAATTTTGATGTCTAGAAATGCAAAAATTTATTCAGATCCGGTCCCCCTCGGACACCTGCGGACCCTCTTTGGCCCATTTCTAAGTTTTCTAACGAATTTACAATATATTATAAGTAATCTGTTATCAGTAAAAACTAGCGCTAAACAAGATTTTTCATGGAGACAATATAAGAGAAGTGTGTGTGTGTGTGTGTGGCGCGCGGCGCGCGTGTGTGTGTGTGTGTGTGCGTGTGTGCGTGCGTGCGTGCGTGCGTGCATGCGTGTGTGTGTGTGTGTGTGTGTGTGTCTGTGTGGTGTGTGTTGCAGAGTTGTGCGTGCGTGCGTGCGTGCGTGCCGCGCTGCAAGCGGTGCGTAGTGTGTGTACTGTAATGAATTTTTTCCATTTTTGTGTAAAAGGCGGGTCCGGACCCTCGACCCCCCCTCTGGATCCGCCCCACCACAGCACAATGGCCACCACACAACACAGACAGCACACACCACACACCACACACACGCACACACGACACGCACATATACACAGCACACACGCACGGACGACACACGCATTCACACACACACACACACCCCCCCCCCCCACACACACACACACAGCAACACACACACTCACACACCCGTACATACATTTATAGCATGCATACTAACATGCAGTCGCACATGGCAAATTTGACAACCGTACGTTTGGCACGGTGCCGTAGCCATGCCAGTGCTAAGGGGGGGTCTGGGGGCACTGCCCCCAGAAAATTTTGAAATATTTAAGCCACATTTTGCGGCCAATATTTGAAGCCGTTTGGGGGGGGCCGACGCCCCCAACCGCCCCCCCTGGCTACGCGCCTGCGCCCGTCGCCAATGGCGACCAGAAACGGCTCTGCTGGGCGACTAAAAAATACCAAAAACAAAATATTAACAGGCCCAAAATAAAATCTTTGGCGAGTACAATTCTGTTCGGCGTTAACACAGCGCAAACAAGTGCTCAGAGTTCGATTTTATCGCAACACTCGGGCGGCACCACGGCTTTCCTATGTAATATAGTTGCGCTTTACAATATAGACATCGGCGTTTAGTTCACTGTTTGAGATGTCAGACCTACGCCGTCCGTGTGTGCAGCCGGCGCGGCTACGCAGGGGCCGGATAGTACGCGAGTCGATCGAAAAACGCGCCGCCGGTCAAAAGCGCCGCGATCAAAAGCCGCGCATACGCGCGGCGGATAGGAACCAAACTGCGCCTCTCTTGTATTTAAACCATAATGGCTCGTATAGCTTCTGTCTACATGAGTTGCCGGGGGATGTGCTTGTGTCGCAGCATTTTCGTTTGTCTGATTACGTTCAAGCAACTCATTGAAAGCAGCGACAGCGTACACGGGTGCGTGCGTGCGTACGTACACGTGGCGTGTGTACGCGTACCCGTGCGTGCGTGCGTGCGTGTGCAATGTACACGTGCGTGCGTGGCATTGCACAGTGTGTGTGCGTGTGTACGTACACGTATGGTGCGTGCGTGTCAGCGTACACGTGCGGCGTGTGCAGCGTACACGTCGTCGGCGTGCCGTGTGTACGTACAACGTGCGTGCGTGCGTGTGTACGTAAGCAGCGGCGTGCGTGCGTGCGTGCGTGCGTGTGCACGTACACGTGCGTGTGAACGTGTGGCACGTACACGTGCGTGCGTGCGTCGTGCATGTGCACGGTGTGCGTGCGTGCGGTGTGTGTGCATGTACAGGTGCGTGTGGTGCACGTACCGTGCGTGCGTGCGTGTGGCACGTACACGTGCGTACGTGGCGTGCGGCGTGCCGTGCGTGCAATAGTCAGCTGCGTGCGTGCGTGCGTGCGTGTGTGTGCATGTTCATCGTGCGTGCGTGCGTGCGTGTGCGTGCACTGATACGCGTCGTGTGCACCTACACGTCGCGTGCCAGTGCGTGCCGTGCGTGTGTACGGTACACGGGCGTGGCGTGTGTGGTACGGTACAGCGTGCGTGCGTGATTGTGGCACGTGTGCGTGCGTGGATTGTCACGTGTGCGTGCGTTATTGTGCACGTGTGCACGTACACGTGCGTGCGTGCGTGTGTACGTATACGGCGTGCGTGCGTGTGTGCTGTGCGTGTCCAGGTAAGCACGTGCGTACGTGCGTGCGTGCGTGCATGTGCACGTGCGTGCCGTGTGTGTGCACGTACAGCGTACGTGCGTGTGGCACTGTACACGTGCGTGCGTGCGTGTGCACGTACACGTGCGTCGTGTCTTGTGGCAGGCTTGTGTGCGTGCGTGCGTGGCACGTACACGTGCGTGCAGGTGGGCACGTACACGGCGTTGCGTGTGCACGGTACAAAGTGGCGTGCGTGTGCACGTACACGTGCGTGCGTGTGCGCATCGTACACGTGGCGTGCGTGTGCACGTGACACGCGGCCTAACTACGAACTCGCTATCAACGAAAACATGCAAGCTATGACAAAGAAGCGTCAAAGGTGCCGCCTGTCAGTGTAGAATGGTAATTATTTATTATTTTTAGTGAGTAGTAATTTATAATGTTTTCTCTCATAAATAATGTATGCGCGGTGATGCTGGATACATCCTGCGGAAATTTCGAGTGGTTTACGGCCTCGTCAGCTCGTGTAAAGTTACGGCAAAAGGTTTATCGTAAAGTTAGCTTGATAAATTGCACGCAAAAGGCCTCGCTGCGTACGCGAAATCGTACGCAAATTTACTAAATAAGCTGTGTTTGATAATCGCACTAAAGCCTAGGAACACACTGTGCATTTTCTACGCTGGCCGCTTCGATGCGATAACACGTGCCGAGTGCCGCGCGGTGTGTCCGTCCACGCCGCGTATTTCGGCACAGCGATCCCATACGCCCTGCCTGATTCGCTCGCGATTCAACAATGTGTGAACTATTTCCGCATCCGGTTTCCAGTCGCTGGCATACAGCGCCTGCGCTTGCGCCAGCGCGCCGCGAAGGGGCACACGTAGCGAAAAATGCCAATGGAAAATGGGGCACCACTTTTCATTTGGGCCAGTAGAAATAAATTTTCTGGGTGGCCCAATAAAAAAAATTTGTCAAGCAGCTGGAAATGGAAATCACTGAACTGCATGTAGTTGAGACTGTAAGTGTAAGCGACTCGGGGAGGCCATACACGCACGTATGCCCTGATTCAGCAGTGACCGGTGGAAATTGACTTAACCTGTGACAGATGACTCTGTGGGGACTGCACTTCAGTTGTGGGCAACTCAGTGGCATATGCCGCCCCTCCTCCTGCCTCCTCCCTCTTCTGCCATCTAGCGTGTGCCCGTGAATATTCCTTCCCCCTCCCACCTCCCTCCCTCCCTCCTCCACAATCGAGCGTGCGTGAGCGGCGTATGCCTCCCCCTCCCACCACCATCCTTCCACGATCTAGCGTGCATACGCTCCCGCCTCTCCCCCCCTTCCCAACCAAAAAATCCCCTTAAGGCGCAAAATGTGTCAGTGATATTCCCGCCCCCTACCCCCCTCCCGCTCCTCCTACCCTCCACAATCTAACATAGCTCAGTGAATATCCTGCCCGCTCCTTCCCGCCTCCTCGCTCCTCCACAATCTCAGCACGCGTCAGCTGAATATACTCCTTTACCCCTCCCGCTGGCCTCTGCACCTCCTCCCTTCCCAATCGAGCGCATGCATTGCAGTGAAATATCCCTCCCCTGCCCGCCCCTCCCACCTCCTCCTCCACAACCCGGAGCGGGTGCGTTAGCAGCCTATGACCGTCCCCCGGCAGCCCGGTGCGGAAGCCAACACCGACACCGAACATCTGACCAACACAGGGCAGCGCAGCAGTAAGCCCAGGTTGAGCGGTCGACGTGGGCGGACGTGTGGAAGCGAAGACGCGCACGTGCTGCCGTAGATGAACGCCGCGACGCAGGCATCGGCCTGCAAGTGCGCGTCCTCGCGTCGCGCCTCGAGTCCATCATCCGCGCCCGTCGGGGACTCAACTTCTCGTTGCCCATCTACAGCAACTGATCGGCTGAGTGCGGCGCGAAGGCGCCCTGTGATCGGCTCAGAGCGCAGGCACCCTGGTGAGCGGGCGCGGCGTCGTGGCGCCCCCTGCTAGGGGTTGCCGCGTGCTGCAGCCGCCCCTTAGGTTTCTGTCGAGCTGTTGATGTCGAATTACCGTGCCTTGATGAAGGCTGGAGAGATTTTGTTTCGACGAAGTGAAGTCGAACCTTAATATAACGTTACATTGTATATGGTAAAAAGTCCATGAAAAAATCATATTAAAAGTATATTTGAAACAGAATCAATAACGAATTTTTTGAAACGAAATTCGAAATTGGAGCTCTCTCTCTGTCTCTCCCTCTCTCGTCTCTCTCTCTCCTTCTGCTCCTCGCTCTCGTTCTCCTCTCTCCCGTGGCTCTCTCTTTCCTCGGTCTCTCTGTCCTCTCTCTCTCTCTCTCGTCTCTCGTGCACCTCTCTCTCCCCTCTCTGCGCCCCGCGTCTCTCTCTCTCTGCTTCTCTCCTCTTTTCTCTCTCTCTCTCCGGGCTGCCGGTTTCTCTTTCTCTCTCTGCTCCGTCATCTGCCTCCATCTCCCCGGCCCGTCTTTCTCGCCCTCTCCTGGCTCCCTCTCTCTTCCGCTCTTCCCGCTCCTCTCTCGCGTCGGTCCCCTTCCGCCCGGTACCCGCGCCGAGGCGCGCGCCCCCGCCGGGTGCCGCCCCAGCCTGGCGACGCGGCCCCGGGCAGTGCGCCCGGCGGGGTGGGGCCCCTCGGTGCGGCCACCCCCCTGAGCGCCGGCTGCCGTCCTCCCCCCGGGTCCTGGCGCGCGGGTCCTTCTCGGGCTCTCGTTTCGTCCTCCCTTTCTCTCTCCTCTCTTTCTCCTTGCGCGCGCGGCCCGCCCATGCGCTCTCGCCTCTCATGCCTCCTATCACATCCGAACCCCCGCTCCTTTGTGTGCTTTCTTCTCTTCTTGTTTGTGCTCCCGTCTTTCCGCCCGCTTGCTTGCTCCTCCTTCTTTCCTGCTTTTCTTTCACCTCGTCCTGCCTGTCCTTACAAAGTTGACAGCTTCACCTCTGGCCTCCATGGAGCTGCGATGGACTACACCTCATCTAACGTGGTATCCGGATGGGCTGCAGGGAGGAGGAACAGGGTGTGTGTGTGTGTGTGCGGGGCCACGCAGCGTGCGTGCGTGGCCAGTGCGTGCGTGGTGTTGTGGTGTGTGTGCGTGTGCGTGCGTGCGTGTTGTGGTGTCTGTACATGCGTGGCGTGTCGTGCGTGCGTGCGGTGTGTGTGGGTTCTGTGTCATGCGTGCGTGCGTCGCGCGATGCGTCAGAATCGCGTCGACATTTCTGACCGGGGTCGTGAGTTCTTTCGTTGTTGCTAAGTGCCGGACGAGACTAAAGCCCGGCGCACACGTGGAGATTTTTATCGCTAGTACTCAAATATGGCAGCGCCCTTGGTGTGGGGGAACAAAGCAGGAGCGATGAAGCTTGTTGAAGATGGCAGGAACGCCGTGTCTTTTTGACATTACGAGGCGCACACGGTGCGATTAAAATCGCCACGTGTGCGCCGGGCTTAAGGAGCATTCTTAGCACTCCCTGCGAAAAAAACACGCTAAACTAAAGAGCGATCTGGCGAGCACAGACCTCCGCCCGAAGGCAGTTGAACTTCTCTCAATGTAAGAAATTTTATAATTAATTAATAATTAATAATGGATCCGGATTAGTGCGAGCGTGGCAGGTGGGGGAGGACTGTGGTTGCCCCTTAGCCTGTGGTTGCGGTGTTTGTAAGTTCTACCACAAGCCAGCGCACCTAGCGGAAAGTGAAACTGAAACGTGCATGGTAACAACACACCCATAAACCACCTGAAGGATGCCGGTGAAACAGCAGCCCGGCAGTTAGCATGCGATATGATATGACTAGCTGAGGCACTTAGGGATATGACTACTAGCACTTAAAAAAAAAAAAAACCCTAACCTAACCCTAACCTAAACCCTAAACCTAACCTAAACCCAAAACCTAACTCTACACCTACCGCCTAACGAGCCTAAATAAAAAAAAAAAATTAATTATAAATTAAAGTGCCTAGAGCCCCAATATCATATCGCAACTAACTGCCGTTGCGTGAAACAAGTAACCTCCCCCGCCGACTTTGCGCGAGGTAATTAACTCGAGTTTAAATCTGGACAGGTGTGCGCATGTCACATGCGCGATGCATCAGATCGCGTCGATCCATTTCTGACCGGGGTCGCGAGTTCTTTCGTTGTTGCTAAGTGTCGAATGAGACTAAGAAAAACTCTTAGGACCTTTTTGCGGTAAATTTAAACGCGTCATTCATCCCGAGCGTGTAGTTTGCAAAGTGAATGAATCACTTCTGGTAATCTGGCACTGGCCCACGTTTGTCTAGACTCTAGACCATGAGTTGCATGAATGTTTGATGGGGAAGAGGCATAGCTAAACGTGTGAGACCCTCATGACCTTCATTTGTCCTTGTAAAGGGTCGGCAGGGCGTGCGTGCTTAGCGTGTATGTCGCTGGCATTTGAAACGTAAGAACGACAATGATGCTTGATGCTTGATGCTTGACTTTTCGGAGCTTTGATGGGATCGTGGGTGGCTAGCGTCTGTGTCGTTGGCATGTGAAGTAGTGTAGGAACAGCAATGACCTTGACGTTTGCCCTTTTGAAGGTTCGATGGGCTTGCTGAACAACCTGAACACGTTCCTGTGGATCCGCGTGCAGCAGTACACATCGCGGGAGGTGCAGGTGCAGCTGTACGATCACCTACACGGGTGCGTGGGGCCGCCGCGCCGTGCCACGCTACAATCTACGTCAATATTAGTCGGCCGTAATCTACGCGATAATATCAGGAGTGTAGAATATTGACGGTGTATTATACACAGAGATATAACATATCAACATACAACGCGGAGATTAAAGAGATTATGCACAGAGATATATACCGGTAACATATAGAGATTAACATAGAGAGTGTATATAGAATCTATATTATAGGCCTACACTCCTGATAATATGTGTCGATAATCGTAATATATTAGTATTTGCTTCGTTGGTACAGCAACACCATATATATTATTATTCATATTATTGATGTGTATGATTTATTTATATCAGTAAATAATCTAGCTTAAAACTTAATAACTCGGTGGCTCATACATGATACATTAATATGTACGTCATTAGTAGCTAATTGTAACCCATACATAGATGGCAGTAGTAAATAACCTTTTTTACATCATTATTACATCATTGTAATCCATAGATTGCACAATTAGGAAATAATTTTTCGTAAATTTCTTACAATTGGCGTGTGTATCTTGTTTAGACTGTCACTGAGATGGCACCTGGGTCGGAAGACAGGGGAAGTGCTGAGGGTCATGGACAGAGGAACCACCAGCATCAACACTCTACTGAAGTAAGTTCCGCGATCGTGTCCACATGATTAACCCTAATACTAAAGAATTTGTAACCAACCTATATTCAGATTTAAAGGAACTGCCACTAATTTTTTTTGAATGGATTCCCTCTAACCTTTAACTCTAATATGGCTTATAACCTCCTATGGCAGGCTGTGCTATTATTATTATTATTATTATTATT